GCCCCCGCCGGTCGCGGGGGGGGGGGGATCGTGGTGGTGACGGCGGCGGAGAGGCGGATCTCGACGACAGAGGCGTGGTTGGGGAATTGTAAGACGTGGGGCCGCGCAGAAACCCGGGACCCGTCGTAGCTTCGTCGTCGTCGTCCTCCTGTTTGGAGTTGGCGTTGAAGAAAGAAGGGCGGTTGATGGTGTTGTTGCTCGAGTATGTCGGCGTGGTGTCGGAGTCCTCTCCTCCTCCTTCCCGGGCCTGGGGGCTCTCTGTCGGCTGTATTTATTACCACGGGCGGTGATTGCGATTGGTCGCGGTGCCGTGAGTCGCCGGAGGAAAAACGGCGGAAACGAGAGAGAGAGGGGACGGGGAGCGAGAATGAATCAGGTTTGAACGGTGTGCTGACAGCTTTGGAGCCGTCGAATTCCGACGATTTGTGCATGTGGTGAACAGCTCGTAGCGATCAAGTTGAGACGATGGGTTTGCTGACAGCTCTTGGGGCTGTAAAACAACACTGTCGGTTCAGAACAGTATCTGGCGAATTTCGCGCAACGGCGACAGAGATGATGGCGGAACTTGCCACAACTTATCGCCTGCGGTACCGCGGCTGTCGCGCGTGTGGTCCGCCGGTCAACCGTTCATTGGCCGACAGTTTTTGTGTGAGAATAATGTTGATTGGTAGGTGTGCCCACATTCAAGGCGAGAGAAAGAAAACACAAAAAACGGGGGCTTCAAAACATTCCAAGACGGGAAGAAAGAAGCCCGTGTAACGTTTTGTGAGAAACGTCGACAAGACTACATGCGCGAAAAAAAAAAAGAGTGAGAGAGCGAAGGCGGAGGACCCGAGACGAGTCCAAAGTGAGGCGGACGTCGTTGCTCTCCGCGTGTTTTGAAATGTAGTTACAATTGTAGGAGCGCGAGGTATTCGGAATCAGTCCAACACAGGTTTTCGCTGCAATCGACGAACGGTCCACCCTAAGNCGAAAAAAAAAAAGAGTGAGAGAGCGAAGGCGGAGGACCCGAGACGAGTCCAAAGTGAGGCGGACGTCGTTGCTCTCCGCGTGTTTTGAAATGTAGTTACAATTGTAGGAGCGCGAGGTATTCGGAATCAGTCCAACACAGGTTTTCGCTGCAATCGACGAACGGTCCACCCTAAGGTTTAAAAATGAAAAGGCACAAGCCCCGGCAGGTTCCACCTCGTCAGTGGAACGATGCCTCACTTTCGCGCCAACGCCTAATGTGCCTCTCGCGCAATAGCTGAACGGAGATGGTAGTAACCTTCCGCCACGACCGGCCGTGAAAATAGAAGAAAATAAACGTACTCCGGTGTAGGCAACAGGAAAAGCCCCTCGTTGGCAATGCCTTCGTGTGCAGCCAAGCTTCGACCGCAGCCGTCGGCACGCGACGGTCAGGACACCAAAAACTGTGCCTACAAAGCCGACAACGCTACGGAGGGGAATCGCCCAGGCAAGCATTGCATGGTATCGTATCGTCTTCATTCATTCGTCTTCGGGGCGACGTTCGTACGAAGTTCTCGCCACACGGCGGCGGCGGCGTCAGCTGCTGTGTGTGGTTATAAGCGTGCAAGAAGGGATGAAAACAAGCAATATCGCCGACAGCGTGGAACCCGCGTGGTTGCTCGCCAAGTCCTTACCTAGACCACACAACGACAACAACAACTTTGGCCGCATCAACGTCTAAAAAACGTTGAAATGGTGCAGCAATGTGTAAAAACGAATGTACAAGCTGGAGATGTGACCACTCCCAATCCAACCTGCCTACGGAAACGGCGCTACTGCTCTTGTACCGGCCGAATTGCATTATGCCACTCATGACTAAGCAGGGCACACACTGCCCGCAGCAGTACCTCTCACAAGGTCGCGAAAGTATCTCCCGATGACAACAATTACGGCCGCGAGTGTTCCGACTACGGTTGTGCGTGCTGCTTGATCGACCGAACGAGTCGAGTTTGAAGTACCCCCGCTTGCAACCCCGGCATTTCGACTGGCTCGACTTCAGTACGGTTAGTCTTACAGGCTCTAGACAGCACACAAGGCTACGACGCCCTGTCGGCGTAGCGCGGCAGGCGGCTAAATACGAAGCAGCCTCAACCCTGGAACAATCCACTCTCGACATCCACTAATAAACAGGACCACAGCGCACAAATCGGCAAGAGCTTTTTAAGCCCCTGTCGTCGCACTCTCCGAAATTGGAACTCGTGCTCACGACGCTGGACGACGATCGAATGGCCAAGGAAAACATTTTTCAATACAACCACACACCTCACACAACAAATAGACCTGCCCCCTAATAGCGTGACGGCTACTGGGGCATGCCGTGCACTTCTAACCACGCGGTGGTGGCATGTCACTCGCTGCTGTATAAGCACGGCAAACAACACATCGTTGTCAACCTTTCATTCCACTATAAAAACCGCCTCCACCGCCCCCCCCCCCATACGCCAACCGCACTGAGACTCATGTATTTTCATTGGTCAGCCGGTTAGCCGCGGTCGACGTTTTTTCAAATACACGGCAGCATCACCACAGAGGCCTGGTCGACGTGGCGGGCGAGTACGACGGCGCCGACTCGTTGTTCTTTTTCATGGGCGAGCGGCTGAGCTTTCTAGGGACCCAGTACTGCGGACTCGCCTGAATCTGGCTATTCCCGGTCCCATAGACTGGCGAGGACGCCCCGATGCCCCCGGCCGTCGAGCTCGGGCCTCCCCGCTGGGACATGGCCGCGACCCCCCCCCGCCCCCGGACCCTGCTGACCCGCTTCGCTCCCATCCCGACGGCCACGGAAGACTGCTCCTCCTCCTCTCCGACCGTGTGCGGGAGCGGGGAACGGCTGTCCATCATCCTCCGCTCGCCAGCCGCCTGCCCCTCGGTGATCACGTCCGGCAGGGTCACGACCGGCGTCTCGTCGCCGTCCTCCGGGGGGCGCTGCGCCTGCTCCGCCTTCCGCTGCGATTCGAGCGCCTTCGCGAGCGCCGCAACACGCCCCCCCCCGCCGCTGCTGCTGCTGCTGCCGGCGGTAGCCGGAGTCGGCGGGGCCAGCGGTGCCTCCGCTCCGCGGGACGGGGCGGGGGAAGGAGAAGCGTCGGCGGCGTCGGCAACATCGTCGCCGTCAGCAGCACCGCTAACACCGTCGGCGGCAACGTCGTCGAGCTCTCCTCTCTTGACCGAGAACCTCGCCCGAGTCTTGGGCGGCGGCGGGACCGGGGGACCATTGCTGCTGCTGCTGGCAGTACGCACGAATGAAGCCCGCTCGAGCCTGGCGGACAGGGCGCTCCCCGTGACGGACGGCGGCGCGAGGTTCTTCCGCGGCGGGGAGAGGCTCCTTGGGCGCGGCAGATCGTCCGAGTTTGGCCTGTGTGTGTTTTTTTTTTTTTTTGTTGCGCGGACGGCGGAGGGGTAAGGATGGCACAGGGTAGCGTCAGTTGGACGGGTACGAGAAGGTGCTGAACTGAGAACGGAAGGGTTAGTAATGTCAACACAACAACAACAACAACAACAGGGCTTGGGAAGGTGTGGATTGGCTGGAGATATCGCGCATTGTTGGGGTCTGGGATGCAACGTGTCTTGGGCCGTTGGGTTGGTTGTTAAGGGGAGGTTCCAGCTGGGATGCAACGTGTTTCTGGGCCGTTAGGTCGGCTGTGGAGAGGAGGTTCAAGCTGGTCGAGGAACAGGGAGCACATGGGAGAGCGGGAAGGGTTTTGAGCCACATGAGTGGCTGAGGAACCTTGTCGAGGTTCCCGGAGCCCTTCCTCTCGTCTTAGTCTCAATCGATGGGTTCATGCTTTGAAGGTACTGGTATTAAGGGCAGAATGTCTCCCCGTATGGTATGTGAACAGGCCGGAGAACAAGTTACGGAAACAACAACTATTCCCCAGAGGCAACAGCGGTATCGACATCGCCCTCCCCGCCGCATCATGTCGGGCATGAACTACTTGTACTGCTGCCTACTCTGCATGATGAACATGGACGTTGGATGTGCGATGCAATAATGATGATAAAGATTTCACGACGTCACCACGACGTTTATGTGTTGTTCAAGGTGGGGTGTTGCATTTTTGTGCAAAGTGATACGCAATGATGGCTGATAGTCAAAATGTACGGTGGGACATAGTGGGATCCCTCTTACAACCAAAAGTTAATTGCTTTAACCCAGGGACGTGGCAGCAGCGTGCGTGAACTGGTACATGCTTGTGTAATAGAAACCGAGAATATGCATCGCGTTCCGAGACCCGAGACCTCCTCCTGTCGCTGGTTTGCAGACTCATCCAGAGCTACAAGATAGGAACATCTACATTCTCATCCTCTGAAGTTGTAGTTACAGGCGGGTGTGTGATCGCAACAAACTGCCACACACGCGCTGAAGACGGAAATATCTTCTGAGCAAACTTCATCCCCATACGATATCCAGCGTGCGCGAAGCCTATATGCTATGGCTTCACACTCGCCGCGTGGCGCACACTCGGCGGTGCTGGATCCATAGCAAGGACATGTCCGAAGGCTTAGATCGGGTGACCCACAAACAGGCACACGTTGGACACAAAAAGTCTCCGCTGCCAGTTATCAGCACTCCAACACTCAAGAGAAGGAGAGCACGTGCCCGCTGCACGTGTATGCAACGGGAACCCCATCAAGCCTGCCTCATCTCCTCCTCCTCTGCTGTTGCTGCTCATCATTTCGTCATCTCTCTCGCAAGCAAAGACGCACAAGACGCACCTCGCAGGAAGCTCAGGCTTGGCGGGCTCGGGCGCCCGCGGCGAAGTCAGGGAGTGCGTCAGCCCCAGCCTCCGGCTCGCGCGGTCTTGCTCGCGGCCATCGACGGCTCGCGGTGACCGACCGCCGACGTCCCCTGCTGCTGACTTCGGGGTGCCCCACCCAGACATGAATGACTCCTGCTGCTGTTGCTGCTGGGCGGTCTCGAAAAAGATTCAACGGGATTTTTTTGCGCGCACCCGCCGCCGCGTCGGGAAATGAAAAGAGACGGAAGGACGCGTGGTGCCGGTATTCCAACCAGCTTCTGGTAGGGGCGTTCGCACTGCTGCGGGGGCCAAAAGACAAGCCCACGTTCCCAAGATCCAAGGCTCTGGACTTGCAACCGTGTGTGGGTCGTGTGGAGGTGGTGCTGTTGGAGGAATTTCTTGGGGGCTCGCTGAACGACAACTACAATATTCAGGATGCCCAGTATCCTAGCTGCGGGTTCCCTCCCTCGCCGCACCGCACGCCACTTGCGACATCCTACACACACCTGCAGGCCCCAGACTGACACACAGGACTGCACCATGGGCGGATCGTGGCGAGTCGGTTTCGCGCTGCTGTCGGCATTTGTCTCAGGTCGGTACCTCCTACAGCAGGGACGAATTTATTGCCCCCGTTTACCAGTCCTCTCGCGTTCAGAATTGTCAACCCTTTGCACTACGCGCTACAGCTGTAGGAGCAGAGATGACAACAGAGCAGGAACCTGATGTTCAACAGCAGTTTGTGTGTCAGTCTTTGTGTCCATTTGACGGGGCTGGTAGGTGGGTGTGTTTACCCGAGAGCTACCTTCTTCCATGTATGGATAGTTGAAAGTGTTGTTGGTTGTAAATTTGTGCAGGACCGATCATGTGCCCTCCCAACGTCAACTTTCCCGCTATCTTGGACAAGCACTGCCAATGGCCGTGCTGAGGGTTAGCGACCTCCGGTTGTTGCTTGCACGATTATAGAGTGCTGTCGTCGCCCTGGACGCCCCTTCATTGTCGCGAACAAAAACGTAGAGGAGCAGGAACACTGGAATGATGTCCCTCATGTGCCCCGCAGGAGAATGGGATCATGTGCAGCAGTCATGCTCCTGGAGAGGCAGTCTACACTGCTTGTCTCCCAAAGACAATAGATAGACCGTTCCAGAACAAGAGTCGACACAACATTTGGCCCCCTCCTCCTCACTCATGTTCAAACCCTATTGCCTCACGTTCAACGCACACGCCTGTGGGAAAGCATGTACGATGAGAGTGCACTCCCAGTAGAAAGCAAGGCCCCACCGACCCCCGACTCGTCTGGTCAAGTTGTCTGTTTTTCTGTGCCACAGCAAGCTACAACAGCAGGTCGGGGCGTTCACCACACCATCATCGTGTTTAGAACTCTTATAGTCGTGTATGCACCTGCTTTGATACCGTGCGCTCTGCTCGGACAATGCTATGCTTGCGTCGCGTCAGGGTCTGCATCCCATCTGTGTTCCGTATCATTGCTGGTCTATGGGGTTTTCACCTCCGTCCCACCATTGCACTCACGGGGTCCCAAATAGTGGCCTTTAAAGCATGTTGTGCTATCAACCGCACTGAGACTATGCATATGCCGTCTCATCATTGGTCGGTTGGTTGGCGTGGTCGATGCTTTCTGCATCATTCATCAGATGTACCGTTACCCCCTGCTAGATGAAGAACTTGGCAAACATGAGACGTAGCCCGGAGTCCTCTTCGCTGTCTTTTGCCAAGAGAACCATTCACCCGTTGCTCCGCAATTCGAAGTCGATGGAACGCGGTGGGGACTAAAGAAATGAAGAAAACCATGTGCGGGAAAGAGAGAAGAGATACATAAGGACCCTCGTAGGTACTGACACACAGGTCATGCTACCATCACAATGACCGATCCTCTTGCCTTGCATCTGTAGTGGGCACCCTCGAGATGACACCTGCAGTTCCTGCTCTACGGGTTGAGATATCCCCCAGCCACCACGTGCCAATCGAGACATGCAAATGTGTCCCTATTGTTTGGTGATGGTTCGCACGACGTGCTCATTTTTTGCAAAACCGGCCCCGGGTATTAATAAAAAAATAGAAATCCCAGCATAACACCACTGCAAATCGCAGGGAAACGTAATAGCAGTTCCTGTTTCAACCAAACCGGCATAGCCCTCCTCCCTCTGGTCCTATTCTCAGCTCCCAGTCAATCTCGACCCCCCCTACCCCTCCAAACCACCCCTCCAATCTCTCCGCCGTGAGATCCAAAATGGATCGGACGGTGGAGGAGGGGGGGGTGTTCGTTGCTTGAAGTGGATCAATGAAACATAGAGCTATCAACGCAAAGCTTGTTACGCACGTCGAGCAAGCTGAACGACCAGACCAACCACGCAAAAACTGCGGAGCTAGATGTGCGGCACGCACTATGCATTGGTTTCGATTGGAGAAAGGCGAGTACAAAGCAGTAAGGAATTGTTGGTCAAACTTTCGGCAGATAGGTCTACTCGGGAGCGTAAGTGGGGTAGCAACCCATGGTGGAGCGTACATGAGAAGCTGGACGTTGGTGTACGCCCCATCCCGGCGTGTGAGTAGGATCTTAGGCTATGCAAGTCGTCCCTGAACTTATTGTGGTGAAAATGACCTCCCAGGAGGAAAGTAGCCTGTACCGCGGGACTTCGGAGATGATAAATTGGATGGTCGGGGGACGTCTGGGTGTTAACTAAGCAGAGCGCCCGGCACAAGACTGGGGTACTTGTGTCAGGAGGTGTGAACTTGGATCTAGACTACGAGCCTATGTTGGAGGCGCTATTTAGCGTCGGTGAGCCGGCAAAAGAACTGAAAGGAACCACAACCCCCGCCGGACACTCGGATTGGGAAGGCCGAGTATCCCGTATATCTTCCTGAAAAAACACGAAAAACAAGTGACCACGGTCCAGTTGCCGTAGAGATCATGAGGATGAAGAAGCCGGGAGGATGAAAGCAGAAACTGTGAAAGGGAGACAAGTTGGAGCTGCTGCTGTTTGGGATTCCAAGGGACATGACGAGGATAGAGTTCAA